CACTTAACATTTTATACATCTAAAGACCATCAGCAACCTTGTATAAGCACTGACATCAGTATTGACGTCACTAGATAGTGATGTAGTCTTCAGCTTCAGCAGCATCCTGGTTTTGAATAGTTCCCTTTACAGGAGCTTTGCAGCGGCAAAGAGATACAGTGTGCCTCCATTTCAGGCTTTATATTAGAGAAAAGCATTGATGACTGAGTGAAGGTGTAGGTCAGGTAATAGATGGATGCCTTATATAATGCCTTATATGCAAAGACCTATCAACTAAACATCTAATCAGTTGTCGACATCTGCTGTGTTTTATTTATGCACACTATCCTGAGGCAAATACACACACACAGCTGGACACAGACTCTCAAATAAAATGTCCAGCTGCTGCTGATGTCCGATTAAGTTTCACCTGCAGCCTTATTGAGCAATAAGAACCGCATCAAACCAGTCTCAGCCAAGCTAATAGACCTTTTAACAGAGAAAGCTAATAACTGTGAAAGGTGCCTCCAAGGAAAGCAGCCACTGGTTTTTCTTACTGCATTTGTGCTGTACACAGAGTATCCAGTTATACCTAAAATTAAGATGCTATGCAGAGTACTGCATTTTGCAGTGGTAAATGTGAACTCTTTTATCAATACATACATCCATGATTGCATCCATCCATCCAGGGGACTATCCTACGCCTGTCATAGGTTGAACAGCAGGCTGCTTTTTAGGTTATAGCACCAATCTATTGATGGGCTAACACAGAGAGACAAACACCCATTCACCATCACTTACAGCCCAGAAGCTTCTTAAACCCAGAAGCTTCTTGCAGGACTTACTATTAATTTTGAAAAACTCTATTTTTGTCTTTTTTTTTTGTCTTTGTTTTCATACAGACAATCCGAGTTCTTAGGAAAATGGTGAACATTTTGCCTGTAAGTATCCAACAAATGGCTGTATTTTCAACAGAAATTACAAAAGGCAATAACATGTTTTTGTTTACTTCACGACTGTGCTTGTTCTACGAATAGATTCCAATTACTGTCTTTTTTTTTTAATGCTAGAGCCCTGTAGATATGATTTCCCCTTCGCCTATGAAGTTTTTAATTAGAGTAGCTTACTACTGTAGAAAGCGTTTAAACAAAAGTGCAACAGCAATAGGCAGCTTGGCCCATCTCCTGGGAATAGCAGCAGCTCTGACTGGACACTGTACCTCTTACATGAATGATTTTCTGGCAGTAATCTTAAAGTATCATCAGTGTTGTTTGCTAAATATAAAATGTGGTGGAATGTCTTCATATCTGTGCTTAATCCCACAGGGTGACGTACTTATAACAAAGTGTACTTATAACACAGAAGATAGGAGCAAGCCTACAGTGGTGAGCAGCGCACTCTGAATATATAAAAACACTTTTCTTGTTACCGGATTTCACCCTGATCATTGTGAATAACAGAAGGATAACCACGAGCAGCTTCTTTAATCTCCTTCCATCTTTCTCCTTCAAAACTCAACATATTTCTTTTGTTCTCGCTGTCTTGGCAACCCTGTATCTGCTCTGTGTACTATATTTTCACTGTCTGAAATATCTTTGTCTCCTCAGGGTGGTTTTGGCATCATGGATGAAATGTGTGTCAACTACATTCACTACTACCCCCGTACCCAGCTGGAGCTCTGCAAGAGCCACGTTGACCAAGGATACCTGCAGAAATATTTTAACTTCATTAACAGGTAGTGCAGGCACACAACATTTCGCGCTCCCTAAAACGATTAGCTACTCTTTCTCCTTTCCCTCTTCCTCTCACATGTGACTAAGCCGTTTTTGTTCTCAGCATTCATCTCTTCCTGGGGACGCGTGGTGATTACATTGTCCAAAAGTAAAACTGTGTCCTGATAACTCAGATTCCTAATCCTTTCTCAATCTCGTTCTGCCTCCTTCTTTTATTGACTTTCCTTCAAATCTCTCTTCCCCCTCTCCATCCTACCCTCCTTCCCTGCAGGTTCCACGGAAATGACCAGTGTGTGTGTGGTGAGGTTAGTGTGACGGAGCAGTTTTCTCAACTAGAGTGGGATGAATTCACCGGAGAAGTGCTGGACTCGCTTTATAACACAGCCCCCATCTCGATGCACTGCAATCAGTCGACTGCACGCCTCTTTCCTGTAAGTCCCCAGTCACGCACACATACACCCGCTACAATAGACTGCCAAGCCACCAATTAGGCCAGTTCAAAAGAAGACATCAGTGGGACAGTGAGTCAGAGCAGCTGAACAGACAGCTTGTTAACTTGTAAAATCAACTCAGATGCACACAAGCTGTTTGGATCAGAGAGAATAAATCAGTTACAAACTGTGAAGAAGCCTCGATCAAGGTTTTCTGTCAGAAATTTTGCTTTAGTCTTGAAGTTTAACTTAACTTGTGCAGTTAGTGAAAAGCAGTTACATATACCATACTGCAGCGTTTCGGTGGATACACGAACAGAGCGTCACTAAGACAAGTAAAGGATAAACGGATTTTAGGTGATCTAGGTTTGGAAACAGCACATAATTTAAAATTCAGGCCAAATACGTCACATAAAAATCCAGGATAAAATCAGGACTGCTTATGAAAGAAACCCACAAGGTACACAGCTACAGTTCTGAATCAGCTAAATGTACAGAGAATTTGTCTGCTGTGAGGATTTATTTAGTTAATCCATTAAGGCCAAAGCTGTTGATTGAATTTTTTTACCTGAAAAATCCCCACATTTTGTCAGTAGCATCCGCAAAACTTTCACATCAAAATGAAAACCTTGAGCTCTAGTAATGAAAGTCACTTGCCTGTGATCCAGAAAAAAATGTGTCAGTAACACAGACGCTCTACATCTGATGTTCTCAAATTATATTGTATATTCTCATAGCACTAGTCAGTAGCCCCGTCAGCGAATATACTGTGGTTACCAACTTTGGAAAAATGGCACCAGTTGCATTTTTCTATCTAATCTTATGATTTAAAATACGGAAGTATTAACAATTCTGTCTCTCTAGAAATAAGGTATATCTGTACATCTATCTGTCTCTTCTTTAACTAGTTTGACACCTTTTTATCTGGCATATTTCAGTTATGGTGCCACCACTGGAGGGCAAAACTGTGTTCAAGATACATATATACATTTATTTATTTATTTATTTATTTTTCGGGGAATCCGTAATGAGAGAAATTAACACAGTAATTCAACAATTGCACCTATAGTCAAGCTCACTGTTTTAGTATTTGAGCTGCCAGCACTCTGTATGGCAGAGTACATACAGCAGATGTTGTTTGGCACTTGAAAACTTTGCAAGAGATAATGAGCAATGGAGCCAGTTTAGGGATGAGCTCATGCAAAATATCCAAGTTTTTTTTTTAAGAAAACATGAAGCAAACATGTGAAGCTCAACAAAGAAAAACCTAGGCGCAACAGCAGGCTCTACCTGCTTTAAGCACTGTGCAAGGCATTACATACAGAACACAAATTACTCTTTAAACCTGGCATACTTGTTGCTGGTCTGAGTATTTCTGGAACTGCCAACCTACTGGGATTTTCCAACACAACCATTACTAAGGTTTACAGAAAAGTGTATGGCTGAGATGACCACTTGTTAAACACTTACAAAAAAGACATGCAAAAGAGCATCTCTGAACACACGGCACACTGAATCTTGAAACAGGCGAGCTACTGTAAAGCACAAAATTGGGGCTGCAGTTCATTCAGGCTCACCATAAGTGGACAAAAGAAGATTGGAAACATGTTGCCTGGCCTGACAGGTCTCAATTTCTGCTGATACAAACATGAAAACATGGATCCATTCTGCCTTGTATCAGTGGTTCAGGCTGGTAGTAGTTTAATGGTGTGGGGGATGTTTTCTTGGCACACTTTGGGCCCTTTTGTACCAACTGGGCATCATTTAAATGCAACAGCCTATCTGAGTATTTCTGCTGACCATGACCATCTCTTGTGACCCGATAATAGCAAGATGTAATTAAAGGTCACTGAACGTATTTAAATGTATCAGAGTCACACCAGCTTCTTTTTCTGAAAAGTAGTAGTACATAGTCACAGTGTTTCCTGTAAATGGTCACTGTGCATTTATAAACTCTTTAGCTTAACAGTATTTAGCATTTTCAGTCTTAAAGCTATGTCCCAAAGCTTCATGTGCATTTCATAATTTTGTGAATTTGAGGAATGTGTGACAGTGGCGGCAAGGTTATTACTTCATTAAAATCTGTCTGAAGAACATAAACTGTCTGGCTATTATTTTAAAGCACCCAGAATTAAATAATACATTCGATTTTAAGAACATATCATGTGTGTTTCCAGGGTGACTGGGACAAACAGCCCATACCAGCGGTGACCACTGTCCTTGAAAAACCTCAGTACACCTGTAAGCGAGGCACGCTTCGCACCAACTGATGCCTTACACCTTCAATGTGAGCAACAGGGGGTTCGCAGGATGTTTCAGCCCAAGGAAAAGGGAGATCTCAAGAGTGGAAACCCAAACAAGTTCCCACAATTTGATTCAGTTTGCCTTGGTTTTTATGTGTTTGTTATCTACTTGCTGTAACTATATACTTATATAAATTCCTGCAGTCTGTGTTATCGTTAGTACATATAAATTCTGTTAGTAACGATCATATTTTTTCCCTATTGAAACCATTTAAAACTCTACAAATTGGGAATGGCAGGTATCAAACTAAATTAAAATAATGCTGGCAGGTTTTTTTTGTAGCTGTTATCAACAGACATGTTACGTTTGTGCAGAGACATAACATACCTACATGTTTGTTCCCTGTGATCCTGTTGACCAACTCAAAACATTTGGGCTGGAAACACGATGTCATTTGGTGAATAATTACAATCTGTACTAAACACAGCATAATAAGTGACTTGAGTGTTATTCAAAGGCAAGACATTAAATAAAAATAATTAAAAATAAACACATTTTTATCCTTTCCTTAGTTAAAGTAAATGGATGGATGAATAATGAATGTCACAAAGTGTTGAATGTTAAATAGACATTTATTAAAACACAAATCGCGTTGGACAGAAGAAATGAATGAGGGTTAACATTTGCTTTATAATTTGACATGCCGCCACATCTTTCCACCTCTCATTTTTTATTCATTTTAAACTGATCATATTTTCTCTCTAAGCATTAATAATAAACGCACAGTCCAAATGTACATCCAAACATCCAATAACAAGATCAATTTTAACAACAAGCCAGTTTTCCATTGAGAGGTTTTCAGTGTTTAATCATATTACAGGAAGAAAAAGCTAAAAAACAAACAAACAAAAGAAACAGAAACTCTACCTACAATGTGATAAAAGAGCTGCAGTGTTTTATCAGCGTGTTTCAAATTTCCCACATAAATCTCGTTATTAACCTAGACTGCTCCTGAGAACAACCATTGCAATGATTAATGGCCTTGTGAGCAGAATCGATGAATCATTCCACATTAGTAAACATTTCGTGCTGAACCGGTTTCAACAAACATCGGCGGGAGAAGCATGAAACACACATACAAATGCCTTCCCTTATTTAGACACCTTTTTCTGAGCTGTTCACAGTGTGTGTGCTGGACTCGAAGTGTATTCGTGTAAGTTAGAGTAAACAAAACATTGTCTTATGAGTGTCAAACCAGATTTAGATACTTGTGTAAACACTAAGAATAATTATAACTAAAAAACAGCACCTACATTAAAGATAAGATTCTCTGTACATTAAGAGCATTTAGTCTTTAAAAAAATCAATATAAGCCAAGGTATTCATCAACTTCATTTTTCCCAGCATGACATCTATAAAGTCATGTCTTGCTTTACTATTAGTTTCAAATTTAAATATTAAGCAATTATAGCAGAGATAAAATGAGAGGTTTACCTATGCATAAATTAACTGCTCGTCTTATTTAGCAAACTTCTCTGTTAAAGAACAAAAGGCGGTACATTAACACAAAATGCCATGACCATGAGGGGATGGATCAGAAGACAAAGGAGATCTTTTTTCATCATTCAAAATCATTTTCCCACAACTGTTTTCTGAAAACTGCTGTCTTCTGTTATTCTACTTCATTAGTGTCTTGTTTCCCTGGTACGTCGTGCCTTTGGGTGTTTCTTTTTTTTGCCTTCCTTTCTCTTCCAGGATGTCTGTTTCAGATTTAGAGAACAAACAAAAAAAAAGCCTCTGGATTTTGTCATCATTATCAGCACAAACAGTTATTGTATTCTCTGTAAATGTCTGCATTGTTATGAGAATACTTTTACTCCCCATTACAGAGTATTAGTATAACCAAGTAAAAGGTCGAATTAACACCGCCATTAATATCAAAGTACTTCTAATAAAGGATAGTTTTCTCTTGAGCCTGATTAGCTTTTTCAAAGGACCTTCCAACAAACTGAGAAGTATATTTATTGATATTTACTTTGGATAAAAACATCCAAATATCCGTTGTATCAGCTGTTTGTACTGTTTAGAAAACACACACACACACACACACACACACCCGCACACACACACACACACAGATTACTGACCAAATTCTATCCAAAGAGTTGCACTGAAAACTCTACTAACTGGGTTAGTTGCAGATTACAGTTAACTGTTTTTACTATATCTGGCTGTTGATCCTTTGACCTAAACAACCAACAGATGTTTTACTTATTATTAAAAAAAAAGAAACGGTTTGAAATACATCATCCGTTATTAAAGTTTTTAAGTTAAACTCTGGAAAGATGAAGGCAATCTGGACCACAAATCCCTCGACTCTTAGAGATAATACGATCAGTGTATCCCTTGAACGTTTTCATGGTATTAGTACTTGCATGACGATTCAAACAGAGTGCTGTTACTCTCAGAGTGGATATAAAAACGTGGAGACAAGAAACAGAAGCACCCTTAACAATCCAGTCATATCTAATTTTTACTGATGCACATTTTACATTTTTCACCAGCTTTCAACATGCAACATTTTACAAATGAGCATAAAATCGATCATACGTGCATGAGTCCCTTCAAATCAGAACAAAATTAACAACATTTGAGATGAACTTGTATTTGACAGAAAACAAAAACAGCTGCTCGTACAAAAGGTTGTAAATCCCTCCAACTCTGGTGCCGTTCTGTAGCTGGTGTGTTTTTCGTCCGTTTTTACATTTGTGGTCTGTTCTCAATCATAGATGCCCTTGACACGCTTATTCTCAGGGTCAAAAGGAGATTTGAGGTGTGCTTTGGCCTTGTATACTACTCCCATCTTCTCCAGGGTAAACTCACCACTCTTTATGAAGTTAGCGCTAACCTGATGAAGAAAGAGACGGTGAGAGAAAATGATAAGTCATAAAACACAAAAAAGACAGAACGATAAGCAAGTATGGGGATACTCAAATACTCGAATTTCAAATGTGTCAAACAAGGACACAGTAAAGATGAAAAGGACAAGGGAGCAAAAAGAGATGAGCAAGAATCCACGTACTTTGTAAACCAGAATGACGGAGCAGCTCATCAGGCTCACGATCCATCACAATTCACAAATTGCATACAATGCCATTTGTGACTGTGCGATTTGTGATGGATTGTTTTGTATATAGTCCGTAAGATGACAAATAAAACCCTGACCCTGAGCACAGTTTGGTTGTAAATGCTTGTGTGCAAGTATCACAAAAATCTGACAAGTCATAGAGGAGGAACACCATTACTTGTTAGTTGTATAAAATACTGCTCCGAGCAGGCAGATTATTCCAGAACGGACAATGTCACTGCAGGAGTTTTAAAGCACAGGAAGCTATCAATTCCCTCATGACTCAGTGTCAGCTCGCTCGTAACACCAAGTGCTAATTTTCACTGACTGACTCCCCGACTCTCCCACTAATCTGTCACTGTGTCTCGAATTCATTCACTGACAGACACATGCTCCATGTCCTGGAGCCTCACGCTAACCATAAGCGTGCATGCTACTTGTTTATAACTAATCAAAGAAAAACCTTGAGAAGAATTTAAATGCAGAAATACATGCAGGGACATATGACACATATCTAAGCAGATATTAAAATCACAGAAGTCAACTGCTGCACACAACCTTAGCTACTAATCTAATCTGTCTGATATTCAGTTATGACAACGGCTCGTGTGATCATTTTAGTTTTCTGCACTTTACTTTCAAGGATTTAGTAAACTCGACACATTTTTTTCACAACAGTGCAGATCTCTGCCATTTTCGTATTTTAACACAAACACTGGAAAACGAAAGAGAAAGTGGTCAGAATAAGTGTGGGCACTGCAGTGTGTTGGTGCTTTTAAGGCACTTACCACTCCTCCATCTGGATTGCGGATGTATCCATAACCAATAGTTTTGTCAATATAAAAGCCATAGTCAGCACGTCGGAGGTGACCAACAGGAACACCATTGCGGTAAATGGCCTCCAGACCAAACATTGGGACTTTCCTAAAAGCCACAGAGTAAGAGATGCAGATAATGATAACAGCTTTATCTCAAAACAACGTTGCAAAGATTTTGACATTTGACAATGAAAGACTGGAGGCACTGTCAAGTTTTCAACAATACAACCCTCTCTGCTTCTGCAACCCTGTTGCTGTTTCACTGGATGTTTGTTTTGGACCGCTTTTGATAAATATTAACCAGTGCATACCAGTAACAGCCCACAAGACCTTTCTGAGAAACTCAGACCCCGCCATCACAACTGACTGCTGTCAGTCGGTCAGAGTTTCCCGCTTCCAGCACATCAACTTTAATAACCGACTGTTCACTTGCAACCTAAAATACCTCATTTCCTTGACAACTGCCACTGTAACGAGATAATCAATGTTATTCATCTCACCTGTCACTGGTTTTAATAATGTGGTTGTTTGGTGTAAAAATACAGTCTCAGGTCTCAGAAAATGAAAAGTTTTGTATTTTTTTGGTACATGTATTATTTACTTCATAAAATAAGGTTATGAATCTTAAATATTAATAGTCAGAACTACTTAAACATAATATATCTAAAGATAACATTTATAAACTGTTTCACCTGTTCCCATCTTTCGCTCTGGAATAAAACATATATTTGATTTTATTTTATTTTTCAAATCAATATTACATTTATTCACTGCACCATCATTAAATATAATGATCCTGTTGCCTGGGAATAACATGGATGGTTGCCGTGCTGCTGAAAATATTTAAATTACATCTATAAATGCTGCCCCCCACCCCTTAATTAATTTTCTTAATTTCTTTCTGATGACTAAAATATCATGTCACGACAGAAGCTCTACTGACTCATCAGTGGTGAAGCAGACGATGCGCCTCTTCAGTCCCTCCTTCTTCTGTTTCTCTAACATATCACGACCCTGGAAAGGGACTGAACTCTTCAGCTTGCAGGTGAAGGCTAGCCCCGCCTCCAGTGGTGTGTCATCAGGGCGCAGGTCGGCGTGCCAATGCCTGTACCCTTAAAAACAAGAAACACCGAAGATTAGAGTAAAAGCCATGTTTCCTGCATATTTGGTACAATATTATTAAAAGTAAACTTTGGCTGAGTTCCATGCTGGATAGTTATTAAAAGAAATGTAGACTCAGTTGTTTTGTTTACTGGTTAAATCCTACCTGAGCTAGATTGGATATTATAGTTATAGATTTAGGACCTTTAAATACAAGTTACCTTTTTCTATGCTGAGCGAGTCGATGGCTCTGTAGCCTGAGTTGATGATGCCGTGCTTTGCACCAGCAGCCATGACAGCATGGTAGACTGGAAGGCAGGAATCTTTGGGAATATGCAGCTCCCAGCCGAGCTCTCCGACAAATGACAGGCGCATAGCTCGCACCTGTGATGGGAGAGGGGTCAGAGAAGAGGCTTAGAAGATGGAGAGATGCACAAAGAGGACCAAGCTGCCATTACTCTTTTTGTGCTCATTCATGCACAAACACACACTTCATCCTTAAGGCCCAAATTTACATGGAATTCATTTTAATACCAAAAGCAGCTTCACAGAAAGCCAGAAAACAGAAGAGAAAAATCAGGACAGATGTACGAAGATACAAGGTGTACAAGAAAGGACAGGAGGGAAAATACAATCATACTGAAGGTATGAAAGACGGTGCTATGAATCAAAAGGAAAATGGAAAGTATTTTGCAATCTGTATGTCATTCTTTATAGTTTGTCTTTTTCAATAAAGATCATGTTAACATTCATCATCTTCACAGCAAAAAATGCAGAAAAAGGAAGAGGAGAAAAAACTCCAGTGAACGGCTCAGGAGAAGCAACTGCAATCTGTTTACCTTCTGACAACTGATGAAGACTGTGCAGTGAGTACAGACTGTGTATCCTGTCATTTTATTTTTGCAAAGTGAAAATCTGCACACAAATCTTCTCCTTCTGTTTCTTCTTCTATGGTATTATGTAAACTAAAGCGCCCTCACACCCTTACAGAAAACTGTGTGAAATTAATAAAGTAAAAATGTCAGCCAGCAGAATGGCTATGTAGTGGTTATAATAATCTAATATTTTATGCAGTTTACTACAACAGTGACAGCCATTTTCATTTTTAACTGGGAGTGAAATAAGATTAAACCATGTAGATACCTTTGGGCTTGAAGCACTGAAAAACTGCAGGCTAAAAGTTTGCATTATTATCATTGTTATTATTATTATTATTATTATTATTATTAGCACTGCTGTTTTAACGCCAACCTCACCATTTGAAAAATGAAATGGAATTTGAGTATCATTTTACATATAGCAGGTATCTGTGCTAACCCTGGCAGTGTTTTCTGAGATGATGTCACATTTACCAGGCAATGTCTATCTTTTTCTATCTATTTTCTATCTATTTTCTATCTGAAAATAAAAAGTTCTTCCTTCAGTTCCCTTTTCACTACAATAATATATATAATGTGTCAGTAATGTAACAAGAAGTCCCAGTACATGTACGTGTTATATATTATAATTATGTATGGCAATGTGTCTTCATTACAACGTTAACCACCAGGGAGGGAAAAAAACCAAAACAAGCAATACATGTAAAGATCTGAAATCAAGTTGCATTATCAGTAACAGCTTTAAAAATCCAGAATATGCCACTTAATCATGACAAGACTGACTCTGCTGCCTTAATTTGTATCAGATTCAACAAAGCACTGAAAACATTCCTCAGAGATTTTGGTCCGTATTGACATGACAGCATCACACAGCTGCTGCAGATTTTTTGGCTACAAATCCATGATGTGAATCTCCTGATTCAACCCAAAGGTGCTTTGTTGGAATGCGATCTGACCATGAGTATAGTCATTAGTCATTGTAATGTTCAACACACTGGTTTGAGATGATTTAAGTTTTGTGACATGATGCAATACATGCTGGAAGTAGCCTTCAGAAGATGGGTGCACAGTGGTCATAATGGGATTTATTTTATTTATCCAGGTAAAAAATCTCATTGAGTCTACGAATATGCAAAGATGGACATTTAGCAGCAGCATACGAAGAACAATGATGTACACGATTTCCATAGCCAGTAATAAAACGTAAAGCACAATGGTACACAGTATCCAACCTCTTTAGGTAGTGGGCAGGTGCATTTATAAAAAGCAGGTCACCATAATCCAATAAAGGTAAAAAAGTAGCATGAATCAAGTGTTTTCTCACTTGGAGGGAGAAACAGGATTGATTTCTAAAAAAGTAACCTAGTTTTAGTTTTAACTTCGACACAAGCCTTTGGATGTGAGTTTTAAATGACAAATTCTGATCTATAATGATCCCTAGATACTTGTAAGATGTGACCATTTCAATTTCAGTTCCTTGAATTGTTTTAATCTTAGGAGACGTAGCTCCTTGCCATTTGAGAATAACATGAACTTGGATTTCTCTGGATTTAACACCAACTTAAGTTGAGTTAAATGGGACTGAACTACATCAAAGGCAGACTGCAGAAATTGCAGGGTTTGTGCTACTGAAGGGGATGAACAATAAATAATTGTATCATCTGCATAAAGATGAAATGCTGCATTTGACAAATTATCACAAAGGTTGTTTATGTAAAGAGAAAATAGCAATGGCCCTAATATGGAGCCCTGCAGAACTCCTTTGGATACTGGGAGAAAAGAAGAAGAAGACCCAGCAGCATGGATACACTGTTTTCTTGCTGACAAGTAATTTGAAAACCAACTTACAGCATTTACAGATAGACCAATATTGTTTAGTCTATTTAATAAAATAGCATGGTCAACTGTATCAAAAGCCTTTGACAAGTCAAGAAAAAGAGCAGCACAGTATTTTTTGCAGTCCATTGAATCAATGATGTCTTTAACCACTTTAATAGCAGCAGTTATTGTGCTGTGTTGTTTTCTGAATCCTGACTGATGTTGGGAAAGAAAGGAATTTTTGTCCAAAAAGTCTTTCAGTTGTTCACTAATGAACTTATCTAGAACACACAATTTAGATATGGGCCTGTAGTTATTAACATCTGAAGGATCACCTCCTTTCAGCAAAGGGAGAACAAAGGCAGATTTCCATATTACAGGGATCTCACTGTTCGAGAGGCTAAGATTAAAAATGTAAGTTATCGGTTTTGCTATAAAATCTGCAGCCAACTTAAGAAAATAGGGATCAAGTTGATCTGGTCCTGCAGATTTATTTAGATCCAACAGATTTAAATTTAAATTTTGGGAGCTTCGATTGTCTGACTACAGGTACCACACAGTGGTCACTGATATCATTTGCGAAAACCCCAGTGTGAGAATATTTATACGGCATAGTAGTTAAAAATAAATCAATAAGTGATGACTTTTCTGGGCATTTAAAAGTTGTGCTGTAAATTAGTTGTGTGAGATTATATGAATCACACATGGATTTAAAACTGTCTGAGGCAGAGGACAACTAGTCCCAGTTGAAATCTCCGGCCAGCACAATTTCATTAAAATCTAAAGTAGATAGTTTTTCACTAAGTGAAACTAAAGCCTCACTACTAGCCAAGGGGGGGTCTATAACAGCCCACAATAGTAATAAAATAGCCCTTGAAAAGTTGGAGCTTGAGGGCAAGAAGTTCAGACTGTTTACAAACAGATACCAATGAATCGACAGTAACATGGAATTTGCTTTTTACATAAATTGCAACACCGCCACCCTTTCTGGGGCGGTCGCAACGGAAAAGATTATAGCCTGTTATTGCAATGTCTTTGTCAGTAATCGATTTTGTAAGCCAGGTTTCTGATAATATAAGAATATCGGTATCTAACTCTTTCATCCAAACTTTCACAAAATCAAGTTTGGGAAGAAGACTTCTGACATTTAAATGAGTGATACCAAGACCTGTTCGAGTTTTAAAATCACAAGGAGTACTTAAGCATTTGCAATCTGGACCGGGATTAGGTTGCACATTTCCAGATAAAAGAAGCAGAAGAACAATAAAACATTTTCTTTTCACAGATTTTTTTTGTAGGATTACAGACTGATTTCTCTTAGTGCCCAATCTCTTTGGGGGGTGAGAGAATTGGGAAATAAACCAGTGATATGGAATAAATCAGTTAAATCAGTTGAAATGAGATCTCTGCTGATGATCACGTTTGAGAAGCTTAAAAGATGTAAAATTCCACCTTGTTCCCTATGAGAGGAGTAAGAAGTATGTTTTTTTTGCTCCACAGACATCATGTAGACAAAAAGCTGTCAATAAAAACAATAAAGGAAAAAAGACTACTGAGGATAACATGCTGACTGACAGATAGACCTGGTAGACCTGTGGTAGAGCCTGGTTGTGGCCTGGTAGGTGATGGTGGAGCCTGGCTGTGGGCTGATGGTGGAGCCTGGTTGTGGCCTGTTGGCTGATGGTAGAGCCTGGCTGTGTGGCCTGCTGGCTGATGGTGGAGCCTGGTTGTGGCCTGCTGGCTTGGACCAGCTAGCTGATGGTGGAGCCTGGTTGTGACCTGTTGGCTGATGGTGGAGCCTGGTTGTGGCCTGCTGGCTTGGACCAGCTAGCTGATGTGGCCTGGTAGGTGATGGTGGAGCCTGGCTGTGGGCTGATGGTTGGGCCTGGTTGTTGGATGTGCTAGCTGAGTAGAGCCTGGCTGTGTGGCCTGCTGGCTGATGGTAGAGCCTGGTTGTGGCCTGCTGGGTGGACCTGCTAGCTGATGGTGGAGCCTGGTTGTGGCCTGTTGGCTGATGGTAGAGCCTGGCTGTGTGGCCTGCTAGCTGATGGTAGAGCCTGGCTGTGTGGCCTGCTGGTTGAGGGTGGAGCCTAGTTGTGGCCTGCTGGCTGATGGTAGAGCCTGTTTGTGGCCTGCTGGCTGGACCTGCTAGCTGATGGTGGAGCCTGGTTGTGGGCTGCTGGTTGGACCAGCTAGCTGATGGTGGAGCCTGGTTGTGTAGGAAAGCTTCTGGTTGTTCCACTGAACAACCAGAAGCTT